TTTCCTTGTGGTGGCTGCCGCCCACTTAGGATTAAAGTGAAGACAGAGCCCGAGTTCGCCTTTCCACCTCTCAGCCTGTTCTTTCACGGAAGTGCATGTCGGGGACATGTGACACCTCATTTTTATTCAGGAAAGAATGCCTGTGAAAATGTAAGTGTAAGGAAAAAAAGAAAACGATACACAATCCCCACTTACCTCGTGGTTATGCTTGAAGTCCATGCATTTCAGGTTTACAAAAACCCCTGTAAAATGAGAATGAGGTCTCTGGACACCTCACTCTGAAACATACCTCAAAATCCTCGGAGAAGCCGTGCTGGTTATTGGAATAGAGCTCCCCGATGTGTTTCACAAACTGTTTGACCGGGATGGCCTCCATGTCATCTGGGAATAGAATGACACTCAGAGTCACACAGCCTATCTCCGCAGAACGAGCAGCACCGGTAAGGGGGGGCGGAGGACAAATGTGTGGTTTTCAGAAGGAGTGATACCACATGTCACCTGGAATAGATGTCCTGAGACAAGCATCGGGGTTCACTTTCCGTTAGGGTCTCACTGCGATTTTGAATGTTTATGGTTAAATATGGTTTTTTAAAAAGGGACATCATACAAATCACCTCTATTCTTATAGTCAAGGCAATTTACATAGTTAAACTGCCACATACTCTTAACTAAAGGTCTGATCTTATCAAGGGTACCTATTAGTCAAGACATTTTATCACAACCTCGTTGTTGTTTTTTAAATTGCTATTCAATGGGGCCCAGCTTGAAGTTGGGGCGATTTAAGTTCTATTTGCAATCTCTGCAGGCTAAGCAATCTATAGACACCATTACAGATAGATGCCACGTACAAGCCGCCTTAGGGTTCAATGCCATCTATGTTAAGTATTCAAGATTTTAGTTCAAGACAGCTGTGTCCACACGATGCCAAGTAATCAGTTTGGCTGAAGTAACGGGAGTTTTTTGGTGCCGACAGCCTAGGTATGGAATCAGGAAGAATCCGCGTTCCCATTTGTTTTGTCGTCACTCCACGAGGGCGCTCTCAGTTCCTGACCCACGTGTGCTTCAAGCTGCTTTACCCAGATCCTGGCCGATGCCGGAGGGCCCCGGAGAAGCTGCCACGCCCCGCGAACCGGAGCTCCCCAACCTCTCCCCTCCCCCACCAATATTTCCTTTAAAAAAGACTCCGCTGAATTTGAGATAAACAACAGACATGACATTTACTTTATTCAGAGTGAAAGATCTTTGGCAAACGCACAAACATCTAAACTGCCACAGATGCTTTTCTTAGCAAAGGGTATGAAGATCTGTATGTGTAAATGGGTCCTACTTTGGCAAGAATGTTAGAGATCCGGGCCTGACAATCTGATTTCCCTTCATCTGGTGACAGCTAACATGGACTATGTCATTCCTCCTCTCCTTTCTCTCTCTCGAGAGCAAAGCTCCAGGGTGGCTTTTTGCATCTATTGACATTTTCAAACTTGAATCATTCTTACGCGGAAAATAGCATCTCTTATAGTTCGTTTAAGGAAGGTGATTTATGTGTTCATACTCCAAACTGCTTAGCACAAGAGATGCTACTTGTCAAACAGGTGCTGCTCTGTAAGCACACATTCCTTCTGTGTGAACAATTAAAGACCTAATCATTTTAATAGGCCACCTTACGAAAAAATTGCCAAGTAATTTACCAATATTTCAGGATTGAAGCTGTTCATGAATATGCAATCACGTTGCACGCCCAAGAAATCTATAGCTCCGTGATGATGTAACCGGCATTAGCTAAGTAAGCAGAGCCAAAATGTTTCCCCAGAATATTTAGCAGAATGCACAGTTAAAAAAATGTTTCCCACATTATCTGATCAGTTCACTTAAAATGTTCAGAAGTAAGCAAATTCTAAAATAATGATCAAATGGCAAATAAGTTAGCTTGGGTTGAAAAAGGGGTTAATTATGTACAAAATTGGAGAGTCTCTAAAATATTAACCCAAGAATAAGCTCATCTTCAAACAAGAGGCAAAATAAGTGAGATGGCATGGATCTAGCCCCTCAAACGCTCCCGGACACAGACTCCAGCATTTCTCTCCTGTTCACTGTGAAATGAGACATTCCTGTTTCCAAGGGCAGAGTGTCATTAATAGTGTAATAGGTGGAGGAAAATGACAGGTTAGAACTGCAGATTCCTAACAAAGTCGTGGTGCTATGACTGAGCACATGGACTCTAGTTCAAAATAAGAAAAAAACATGTTAGCTTTAGAGCTATTTTACTCTGCAAGGGACAAGTCACAGCATTTTAGAGGTCACAGCCTACCTCAAGTCATTAAAACCATGCTTTAATGTTAACAGGCCTTTTACCCCCCTGCAAAGTGCTCATCTGTAACATCCAGGCTAATGCCATCCATGCCCAGGAACCAGGCTGCCCGCTGCCCCAGGGCTCAGCACGCTCATCCTTGCAAGAGAAGACTCACTAGCCTCTCCAATTCCCTCCTTTATCCAAGGAAGTCTAACCACTCCCCTCGGGTTTCCAGGCATCACCAGAGACACCACGAAACTGGCAGACAGACAGACAGACAGCCACACACACACACACACACACACACGCACACGCACACGCACACCCCACATACACGCTGTACTGGCCACCGTCAGCTACCCAGATAACACATTATTTGTCTTTTAATCGAGATAAATGAAACGGAGGGGCCATAAATCTTGTTTCAATATTAAGATGAAGATAAGACTATGACTAATTAGAAGTCCTAATAGTTTTCCTCTTACACAGTTTTTCTATTAAATATCTTTCAGCACGAGCCAGATAATTATAAAATTGCTGTTTCCAGCAGAAGGCCAGGCAATTAGGGCATCATCATCACAGACCTGAGCTGCTCGATTTTCATCTGGACAGACCCTCTGCTACAGGAACACATCCATCTGAAAGACGTTATTGCCACTGAAACATCTGAGTTTCATCAACGAGTGCAGAGAATATTAGGCAAAGCCATGGACCAGGTGCTTTCTGTGCCCTCTTATGTAGCACATGCATTGACATGTATGGTTTGCACACTCATCTTAGAGTGGAGAGACAAGCTCAGAAAGATTAACTGAAGGCTGCAGTATGGCTGCAAAAGCTGGCACCGACCCAAGGCCCAGACGCTCCGGCTCGGAGAGACCGGGTATGTCGGGGAAGAGTGAATGGGAACCCCCGGCTGAGGCACTGACTGAGCACCCAGGACTCGGCCAGCGGGAAGTGAGGTGGCCTCTGCCCAAGGGAACCTTTGTGTGGGAAAGTGAATGTGGGGACTGCATTTAACAGCATGGTGAAGACAGAAGTGTCATCAAAGGGATGGAGCTGGTGACTCAGGTGAGGGTGCCTGTCCCTGATGCAGTGGTGACTCAGGTGAGGGTGCCTGTCCCTGATGCAGTGGTGACTCAGGTGAGGGTACCTGTCCCTGATGCAGTGGTGGCTCAGTCAGGTGAGGGTGCCTGTCCCTGATGCAGTGGTGATGGGGGAGAAACGGAGGCCAAGAGCTGAGTGGAATCCCAGTGAGGATGCTCGCACTAACTACCTGCCACACAGGAGATTGTTACGGTCTGAGGGCAGTCGGTATAAAGAGAAGGCAGCCACCAGTTATTAACCCTCATTGGCTGCCAGCGACTGTGCCACATGCTTTTTCATAGATTTATCTTTGTAAGAACCAGGCAAAGGGGACCTTGCTATCCTCCCATCACACACAAGGAAATCAAGGGGACCTGTTTCTAGTGACACCATCACTCAGTGGTAGAGCTGAGATTCGAATCAGGTGCCCCGAGCCCAAACCTGTGCTCCTATGCACCGAGGTTCACTCTCCAAGCCCCACGGCGCCAAGGAAAAGCGAGGCATGAGAACAGCTCAGCAAACCTGGTGAAACGGTACTTTATAATTTTGTGCCAAAAATTTTACTTACTGGATTTTCACATCACAAAGGTATATTCGATTAGGCAAAAATGGGGCTGCTACTGTCAGCACGAAAGCGCCCCATTATAAAGTGTTTGAGAGTCTGCTGCAAATCAGCACCTGCCGTGGGCTTGCTATGAAATGATACTGCTTATCCCTTTTCCCAGATTTTAGCCCTTTGTGGTTGGAACTACAGCTGTAGGAAGAGGCCTTTTATTTTGGCCAATCAGCAACAGAACGCCCCGTGGACCACTTCTGAGGAACTTGAGATTAACCTCTGGTTCGCAGGCCCCGAAGGCAGGGGCGAGCACCTCCTCACAGAAGGTGCCGCAGCCGAGGGTTCTCAGGAGGAAAAAGAGAGCTGAGTAGTGTGACCGCAAACATAGCACGGGGGAAATAAGGAAAAGTGGATTTGAACACACAAAGAAAGCCAGGTCCCTGCTGTGCTCACACGTTCAAGGCCATGGGGGGACGCGCCCGGACTCGGTCTACGCTCCTAACCGCTCGCGTGTGCTGAAATTGCTGGTCATCAAACACAAGTGGAAAACCTTAGCTTTCTTGTCGGCAGTTTTTGGTGTGATATTCGAAAGGAAATATCAGCCACCCAGGGGGGCACTGCCGAGGCCCAGCCTGCGAGTCAGTGACGTCGTGCAGCTGCCCTGCTGCCAGCCACGGTGACGGACACGCCCGAGTGCCGGGCACAGAGGCGGGGGTGTGCCCACCTCTGTGTGACTCCCCTTCTGCATCTCTAAAATGGGGGTAATGACAGGACCGAACAGAGTGTCATGAAAAGTGAACTAGATAACAGAAGTACTTATAAGAGCGCTGGGCCTTTAGCAAATACGTAATCATTGTGATTTACTGTTCGGTGCTAATGGCTTTATGCGTATGACCCCCCTGAGATCTAGGGGCTGTCATCACCTTCATTTAATAGATGGGAAAATGGGCTCAGAGACCAAGGTCCACTGACATGATCAAAGATGGGGTCAAAGCTGACCCCAAGGCCAGCTTCTTCCACCTGATAGGACCTCTCTAGTCCTTCAACTGAAAATACATGGTTAGCCCTGAGCAGTGGTTAGAGCGTTTGCCTGTGCACCAAAGGGTTGAAGGTTTGATTCCCGGTCAAGGACACATACATGGTTGCAGGTTCAATCCCCGGCCCCATGGGGTGCGTGCGGGAGGCAACCAATCCATGTGTCTCTCTCACATCGATGTTTCTTTCTCTCTCTCTCTCCTCCCTCCCTTCCTTCCACTTTCTCTAAAAATCAATGGAAAAAATATCCTCGGGTGAGGAGTAACAAAACAACAAAAAGGAAAATACATGGTTAGAGAGGGCAGAGAACCCAGCAGTTAGCTGCCTGCTGCAGGGCTGTTGAACACATGTTCCTGCTTGCTTACTTGGGCAGGTGTGTGGGTCTATCATTACCATTTAGAGTCCAAGGGGCTAAGTCGC